AAAGAGTGTGACTGTCATAGGAACCTTAGGTAGGTCCTCGTAAGCTCTAAGCTCCTTCAATTTTTGCTCTTCAGACAACTACACAGATGTTTTTTCCTGCATCACAGCCATCTAGAGCAACCTTGGAGGGACAAGAGGGAGGTGTATGTGACAAAACACAGAGTGGAGTACATGGGTAAGTGGAGAGAACCAGGATATCATAAAGAACTCGAGGACCTGTTGGCTTCAAGTAACAAGTGCTGTGGCTTGGAGAAAGAAGTCCTGCAAGAAAAGTGGGAAGTGTGAAACACATGCTTCAGGGAGAAGGATCTGGATTTATGTATTGGTCAAAGGATGTGATGATGGCCATGCAGAAATGTCACAGATCATGTTGAGACTTCATTAGAAGAGATTACGAGTACATACACTGCTGCTGACCATGCCGGTGTTGGTGTAACAGAGTGTGGAGGGAGATCTCCAGTAGCAATTGGATGCAGTTGTGAATTAGAATTGAGATTAGACTTGTATGAGCACAGTGGGGAAGTGTTAGACTTGATGAAAGGGGTAGAAGGGCATCATCCTAGGCAGGACTAGAAGGACTAGGCTTGTGAAGTCTAGCCAGACAAATGCTGACAGGGCTATGATCATTGTCTATAAATACATTTGGATTGTAAACACCAAGGAGAAAAAGCACAATTTAAGCAAATGGCCAGCACTGGTGCCAGAACAAATGGATGCAAGCTGAACTGTGAATAAATCGAGACTGGAAATGAGAAGAAATTTTCATATCATTTGAGCTGTGAGATTTTGGAACAATTTTGGTTTAGGAATTAATGGGAAAAAAAACCACCTAAGGGCATTTTGGTTTAAGAGGGACTATTTCTTGTGTAGGCTGCCTCAGGCATGGGCTTTGGCTTGGTCCATACCAACTGCAATGTTGCTGCAGAAGCAAAACCGATAAACTGGTTTGGTTTTTTCTAACCCTGTGTAACAGCTCAAGGAAGCACATTCTGATGAGTGTAGTCTTTCTGACTGGTGGCTGCTAGATGTAATCTCCAAAGGACTTGTTTGTACCATTAAAATAATTCATAAGATCAGAGCCTACAGTTGTTCTTTGAGTTATGATGTAGCCACATTCTTTAAGGATGTGTAATTTCTTTTTTTTTTTGTTCCCCAGTTCTTACTCTTACAAGTAAATCCAAATTCTGCTTAAAGGATTCTGGTCTTTATCTGACTTAAACTGGGGTTACCAGTCCAGAAACACCTGTTGAAATAGCTTAAATCATTTTTGTGTTCAGTAAGAAGGGTTTTTCTTTCATTTTCTGAGTTTGTTTTTATTTTCCTTTAAACATGGAGTTTTTTTTTATTTTCCTTTAAACATGGAGTTTGTTTTTATTTTCTTTAAAGATTTTTCTTCCTGTATTTTAATTCTAAAAATTACTGCTGCAGATCTTGGCTTCTAACAGTTTCAATGCTTGGATGAGCTGAAAGGACTCAGATGACAGAATCTGTACACGTACCAGACCCAAAAGTCTATTGAAATAGAAATAGAGAGCCTCTGCAGAACTTTGTGAACTGCATCATAGGAACCTCTTGAAGTCATTACAGCTAGCTTACGTATTGAAATGATTTGTGCATGGTTTGTGTCTCATAGAATGATTAGGATATTAGATACTGCAGTGCAGGTAGAAACATAGAGAAGTGAAATTGTCCAGTTTGCATATAAAGAGGAAAATATTATCAGCATTCTGAACAATAAACTTGTATTGGCCATGTGGGGTGCAGTGTCACTGATACCAGAATTCAGAATTACTGGGCATGATGTGCTAGGCTCTCTTCCCCTTCACACACCTTCCTTTTAACCTCTCTTGACTAGGCTAGGTGCACTCTAGAGTAATTTGAAAGATGTTCAAATTATGAATTATTAGGTGATTCTTCCCCTCTAATTTGCTCTCATGAGACCCTACCTGCAGCTCTGGGGTCCCCAGCATAAGAAGGACATGGACCTGTTGGAGTGAGTCGAGAGGAAGCCATGAAGATGATCAGGGGGCAGGAGCCCTCTGTGAAGACAGAGTGTTGGGGTTGTTCAGCCTGGAGAAGAAAAGGCTTTTGGGAGACCTTAGAACAGCTTCCAGTGCCTAAAGGAGCTACAAGAAACCTGGAGAAGGAATTCTGACAGGGGCATGGGGTCACTGGACAGGGGCTAATGGCTTTAAACTGGAAGAG